GAGCTACTTTGTTCTTAATACAAACTCTATAAATAGAAGTAGATTCTACAACTACACCTATTTGGATTTATAGTGCCAGAGGTGATTCTATATTCAATAAAGCCAATTCTTTTTACAAACATTGATAACATTCTTTATATTTCTTATTATAGTAATGTTCACACTTTGCTATACTGGTTTTCTTTCAGGAATTTTTTAGATCAAATATGTATTTTCACTTGGATTTTCACTGAGCTTTGCATTTGATTATAGGCTTCATTTTTGGTTATAAAATATTTTACCTTCAGCCAGACTTGAACTGTTGACTCTTGGCTGTAGAAGGATGAGAGCTTAACAAGTAAGCTATAAGACCCAACCCTTATTTTTTTTAAAATTATAAGGTTTTATTTTTTTATTATGTTTGTTTTCTTCTACTAGTCTTTGTATTTCTTATTCTGATTCTATTTAAATTTTTTAATAATTGATTTTTTTATCTTTTATTAATTGATATATAGATTTTTTTTAAATTAATCTTTAATAATTTATGCCTTTAAGTAATTCTTACTTTTTTAGAATTGACTTGTTTATTATTTTTGGTTTTATTAACTTAAAATAAGTTTAAAATAAAAAAAATTTAGTAAAAATATTCTATGATTCTTTTTATCTCTTAAAACTACAATTAAAATTTTTTTGTCAAAATGATTTAGATATAGTTTTATGAAATTGAGTTAATTATATAATGTTTATTAAGAACAAGTTTATTATTAAAAATAATTTATAAAAAATTTTAACTGACTAAAATTTTCTTAATTTTCTTAACTATTTAATCACATTTAATCTTACTTATTTGATTTAAAAAGATACACTATAGAAATGCATTATGTTGCAGTCTAGGCACTCATTTATTTAGCTTACTTTCAATTTACAAAAATAAATTTTATATTTTTTTACATATGTATTGCATCTTATAAGATCTGATGTGATGTGAAAAATAACTAAAATAAATTGTTATTTTCATTAGGATGAGGTAAGAACAAAGTGTAATAAGAGAAAGAGACTTATAGTAAAATTTGAAAATGAATTTTTTAATTATACAAAAGATAATTTATAATCAAAATTTCCTGTTATAATTAATTTTTTTAAAAAAATAATTGCTTTATTTTCATATTACACCTAATCCTGTATTTTTATTAGCTGATCAGGCATTGTTATTTCAATAAATTCAATAGAAATTTGGTGAAATCTTCAAAAGTTCAAATGTGAATCTGGTAGTAATGTGATCTGAAATTTATTGGATTTCATTTTTTAATAGATTTTAGGTTATATCATTAGTATCTGGTTATTATCATTAGTATCTGATTGTTATTGTATCTAATTTAGAAAATTTGTTTATAAATAATTATGAATTATATTTATTAAAATCTACTAAGTAAAATAATTTTAACAAATTAATAAAATAAATTAAAAAATACCTAAACATTATTTTAAAACTACCAACACTAGTTTTTAAGTCTTTTATTTAGTTAACATTATTTATTAAATTATTTTTATTAATATTAAACCATTTACAGTATATTTGTAAAAAATTTTTGACCTCTAGGGTCAATAGCATAGCGGTTATACTCTGAGGTCACAATCACAAGGTTGCCAGTTCAAATCCTAGTGACGGCAATTTTAGAGATGCATTTCCAAAAATAGGGAACTGCAACACTGTGGTACCAGGGACCCAGGGCATCAAAAGACAGACTTATTTCCAGAAATAGCAAGTGACCTTCAATTGAGAAGCCACATGGTGATGAATATAAGTTAGAACCTAATTTGGAATAACTGAAGTCATGAGACGTAATGTGAGGCCAAAAAGTCTGACAATGAGAGATACTACATGAACTCATGGCGATAGCCGGTTCTGAGCAGAGCCTGGTGAAACCTTCTGATACCGGCAGGGATTGGTGCAACGAATCGTTCTTGGAAACTTTAAAAGTACAGACTGGAAGAGGTCGAGGTTCAGCAACCCAGGACATTTAAGAACATTAGTTTGAGAATATAAGGAGCATGAACAACCTCAGCAAGATTGTAAAAGAGTAAAAAAAAATATTTTTTGCATTTTTTATATAAAAAGTTTATATAGAAAAAAAATTTCAATATTTTTAATCAAAACTATAAAAAGAATACAATTTTTAAATTATATATATATATATAAGTTCTAATTTTTGATTACAAAAGCTTTTAAACTTTTGATCCTCTAGATTCTAATTACTTAATAATTTTAAAATATAAATTTGACAAACTTTACTTTCATCTTTATCAGTACCAATACTGTAATAATAACAGTATATTAAATAATTTTTGATCTTTTCTTTATAAATTGATTTACTATTATCATAAACTTGTGAATAGTATTCAAAGACTTTTTTTTCATTTTTATCAGCACCATAACCAAATTCTAGATGCTTTGCTAACCAATATTTTACATCATCTGATAAGGTTGAGTTAGAATTGTTTGCAATATAGAAAAAAGAACAATATAAAACCATATAATTTTCTTTTTTGTAATATTCATTTGCTTTATTAAATATTAATAGTTTATTAGACTTATTAGTAATTTTTTGTTTTTAACTATTATTTTGGTTTTATCAAACTCATAGTAATTTTTTTGATTAAAATACTTTTAATTTATATTTTCTTTTGTGCTATTACTGTACATAATTAAGCTAATATCAGAATTTTATATAAATTTCCTATTCATAAAATTTTTACAATTACAATTTCATAGAAGTTGACTAATTTACTTTAAAATATTAAAATTGATTCAGAAACATCCAATCATTCATTTATTATTTAATTTAGTTATCAATTATTAATATGTTTTAATTAAATCTGGCTTGCTAATTTAGCTTATAAATTATCTAATGGATTAATATTATGTTTATATTGAGATAACAATTTTAGAACAGTTTTCTAACAAGATTACAATTAAATGAATTCAACATGCATATTTTATACATTCTTTTTCTCTCATATTGAATTTGAATAATGACATAGAAGCTATATAAATGAATGTAGAGAAGGAAAATGAAATAGTAATAGTAAATAGTAATCCTTTTGACTGCAGATCAAAAATGGTCTTTTTGTCCAATTTATAAGCGCAATTTGTATTAGTAATATGTATATTTTAAATGAATGCACATATACTAAATAACTGCAGTTAATCATAGTCTTAGTCTTAGATAATCGAAGTTATTAAACATTCTTTCCAATTTTTGTAAATAAATTCTCTAAGTCAAAATTCTTTGTACTTTATAAATGGTCCATTCAGACAAAGATCGGAAATATTTGTAATAAATGTTTATTGGGATCTATTCTATACACAACTTATATAATCACGTGTTTAAAAATATTTTTTAGCAATTACTCCCCACAGAGGAAAATGACGCAAATTAGTTGTGAAGATCACGAGTATTTGAAAGCGAACAAGTTTATTTGTTTGGGTAAGATCACGGGTAGATCTACAAAAATTAACTAATTATATGAATGTCCTATGAGCCCAACAATTCTTCCGCTTCCAGAAATTGAGCGAGTCACAGCATATCATCACAAAATATAATTCCAGATCGTTGGTAGTGCCCATATATTACAGTATCACAATTATTTAAAATATCGTAATCCAGTAATTATGAGGCAAAGGTAATTTTAATTATAAGCGGATAGTTTATTTCCATAACTAACCAAAAATGTTAATTATTTGTTTGTGTATGTATTAAGTATCCAGCCTGGATTGAATCTGGTCTGAGACAACAATGCAAAAGATGATCGAAATATGTAATGTAATCTGCTCTTCAGGTTTTGCCATGACGTTGATGTTATTTGCTAGTAACCAATCAGAACTGCTAAAATGTACAAACTCTGAATTAGATAGTAGAAATTTTGCAATTATTTGTAACTACATACAACTATTAACAAATCATAATAAAAGTAATATCTAAATAAATTAAGCCACGCTAATTTTATTTGTATATTTCACGCAAGAAAATTTATTAGTTTACACAGTTTTTATACCAAAATTTTTACAAAAGAAAAATTAAACCCTCGCTTATGGTTAGGGTAAGGTGGGCTTAGGATCGGACAAGATATAGCTTATACCAAAATTTCGCAATGAATTTTTTTTGTTAGAAGCCAAAAGGTTTCATAATGAAAATTTTGAGATATCTATATTGCCCATGTACATACACCCAATGTTCGAAATTAAGGCACGAATACTGTTCTCATGAGAACAGTATAATAGTTATAAGTGTTCTCAAATATTGTTTGATGTTCACGAGTAACAAAACAAATAAAAAAAAAACAAAAGCTATAATAAAAAATACATATTATAGTAAGAATTGGAACTATTTAACTGCGTAAAGATTGTTTTATAATTCCAACATGAATTATATTGGTAATGAGCCAAATTTAATGCCAGCAATTAGCATGGTTAAACGGTTAATCGATTAGAAAATTTCAGGCGGTTCCAATTCATATATTATAGATGAGAACACTCTTATTATTTTACTGTTCGCAAAAAATTTGTACCGTGCACAAATTCATAATGGTGTTCTCATGAGAACTCTGAGAACACTAATTTTGAATACTGCATATACCCCGTGTACAAATAGAACCTTCAACCAATTCTTTCAATGTGAATTTATATTTTATTAAACACCTGTAGATTATAGGCTAGCTCTATATAATATATGAATAATAAAAATAGGAAAAATAATACTAAGAAGGTTAATTTCTATTGTGAACCAAATTAGTTTATAGTCTAATTACATTTATATAACATCTTCGGGATGTAAAATATTTTAGACTTCTTATTTTAAGGATCATATTAAAATTTCCGAATTATATATCGTATATAATACTAAATTATTAAAAAGTTTCTACTATATAGACTATTCGAATACAAATAAAATAAACTTCTATAACTAATAAAGAAATTACTAATGGAAAAGTAATAAAACTCCGATTTGATTATCTTAGAGTTAATGATAACCTTTTTTATCTTTTGGATCTTTTAGGAAATGAGTTTCTTTTGGACCTTTTTTGGATTGAGTACAGAACGGAACACGTATAAATTTATTTGGAGAACCCTGAAGATTACCAGTAACTACATTTGGTGTTGCTAATTTATTAATAGCAGCACTCATTTGATCTGGAGGTAAATTTCCACTTGTTGCAATTATCAAAGCTATCATTCCTGTAACTAATTAATAGAAAAAATTTAAGATAGATCATACTTAGTTTAATAGAATATTTTTTTTAATTACAAACCATGAGGGGTTGCTTGGCTGGTTCCTGAAAATACTGCCGTATCATTATCAGACGCAATTCCTGCTGATTCGATATTCATACCTAGTTATGAAAATAAAAATCAATTATTGTGGGATAAAGGTATTTATTGTTCATTACAACGGATTTATGTAAATAAGATTTTTTTTATTTAAATCTCTAAATCTAACACTTTTAAGTATGAATACTTTTTGCAATATATTAAATTAAAAAATAATTAAAATTTGGGATTTAAATAAAAGAACAACTCTACAAATCCGCCGTAATTAATTAAACTTTAATTTATTACCTGGTGCGAAGATATCAAGGCAATTTCCAAAATTTGAAAAAATAGTAATATAATCTGTAGTGACTGAAGTAGCTCCAACTGTTATAGCATTAGGTGCTGATGCTGGAGAAAAATTACAAGCATCTGCTGCAGAATTTCCCGCAGCAACAGATACGTGGATACCCATAGTTATCAATGCTTGAACTGCGTCATTAATAGCTTGACTGAAACCACCATCTAATGACAAACTATAAAATAGATAAATAAATGTTTTTTATAAAACAGAATATATAAAAGTAGGAATGGTATTGTAGATAAATATTACTTTACAACAGTATTCTTGTTAGTGCAACTCGAGTGTTGGGCTGCTACAGATGCTAATTCTGCAAGGACATCAGAGAATGAACCAGAGCCACTCGGGCCAAAAACCTTAATGGAAATTATAGATACATGTTTTGCTACTCCCCATGTGACTCCTAAAATAATTTCAAAATCTGTCAAGTATTAAGAAATTTTTTGTCATGATATTTTCTGAAACTTTTATTACCTCCAACCTATCAATATATTATTAGATTTAAATTGATTAAACATTATAAAAATAAGTATTTAATAGTTATGTTATTAGGATTTAAATGTATGATATTAAGGTTTACCAATAAAAATCTATAATACTTACAATTCCTGCGACATGAGTTCCATGACTTCAAAAAAATAAAACGATTAAATAATTTAAATATTTTATTATGAGCCAAAAATTGAAATAATGTAGATACCCATTATCATCCACGTTTTGTGTACAACCGGAGCAGAAAGGAGGAGTACTATTTGTTGCCCGTCCTCCAAATTCTAGATGATCTGTTTTAATACCTCTACATGTAGAAAGTAGTATTATAAAATAATTAACAATATATTCACTTATTTTAATTAGCGCAGCAAGTAATAAACTTAATTGAACCTTGATGCTGACTAAAAATGGGCAGCAGATTCATAATTTTTGATTGGCTATTATGTGAAGATCCTTCTTAAAAATCAATTCTTTAAGATTTCTACGACTACTTGATCAAAATTCAGTGAAAGTTTTTTATTTTAATTCATTGAATTTTTGATCAGGTAGTTTGGGAAACTCTCGATCAAAATCTTAATAGAATTAATTTTTAAGAAGGATCTTCACATAATGGCAAATCAAAAATTATGAAACTGTCATGCATTTTTTTGTACATACGTACGGCACCTTAGGTTTAATCAATAACTTACGTGTCAATAATATAAACATTTACTCCGGAACCCCTATTCTTAGGATAAATATATTTCCCATCTAATGGACGGGATGGCTGGTCAATACGATCCAAATTCTAAAAATTTTGATAAAGTATCATTAATAATTAATGTTATTTACTCAGGGTTTTTTACAGTGAATAAAAACACATAATGAATAAAATAAATAAATAAATATTAATTTTATTAAATTTTAAAACAATACATACAAATGGCGCAGGGCTTTGGGTTGCGAAACTATGGCAATTATCATGAGCAGCAGTCGCGGTTTTACATACGGTTTTAGATACGGGTTTAATTACGCTTTTAGAACAATTTGGAAGATATTTCTTAGGAGGAGCATTAATAGAAGCTTCTGTATCTGGTTCAACATGCTTCACCTCACGTTGTTCAGTCAATGCAGCAGCTTCGCTGGGGCGTAAATATGTAATATAGGCGATGAAGTCTTCAAAACTAACATCATTAATATTATCATGATCATCTGATCGTAAAGTGTGAGAATTGTCAACCTTTTTATTAAAACAATGATTTAACATTTCATAGTGTTGATCTTTGGCACTTTCTGATTTAAGCATAACAATATGTTTTTGCGGGGTTTCATCTGAATCTATACTTGTAGGACAATCATATTGCGATTGTGATTCAACTAATGCTAATAAATAAATAATAAAAAAAAGAGATATAGTTTTAGAGAAATGTGAAATAACAACCATATTTGATTTTTAATAAAAGAGTCAATAAAGAAGGATGACTAGTAACGAATGTCCAGAACAAAATAGTGGGAGTAAAAATTTGAGTGCTTTTATATTGATGTGCTGACATATTGTTCATATAACCTGAATTTCTGTTTATAGGCCCAAGTTTTTTACAGTCAAATCTTTCTAAATGCAACACCAAATTCTGTACGAATGCATATTGTCATAGGGTAAAGTGACATTTCCGAAAACCGTCCCACAACAGGCTTGGATGGAGAACAATGTTTGAAATTCAAATTTTAATTTAGTTGATGGCCCGCAACTAAATAAAAACCTTACTTGCGGATTATATAATTTGGTTGCAAATTCGAACATATCTATAAGCAAGTTCACAAAATTCATTTGCGGAACCGTATATGCATTTCAGAATTTAGCTGCAGGAACTTATAAATCATTTGCAGTCCGTTATTACTTTTACAAATTAGAAAAAATTATGTTACAAAAAAATACATTTGATACATTGGCCTTTACTGTTTGAGCAGTAAAGTTTCCAGGTCTCGCGACTTGGACGCAGTATCATGAGACCCACATAAAGGATATAAAATTAAGAAAACGGGTTGTAATAATAGTCGTATTTTTTAAAAAATGGGGCCATAGAATATAATGCATCCTCCCTAAGTGCATGACCTCCTAAATGCTATTAATTTTTTGGCCCAAATATATACTAAACTCCCATAAATGCATGACCTCCTTAAATGCTATTAATTTTTTGGCCCAAATATTTACTAAACTCCCATAAATGCATTTTATTATTGTTCTCTAAACGCAAGTTAGTCCCGATGATATGCATTTATGGAGGGTTGACTGTATTTATTTTAATGAATTTTTCGCGTAAAACTATTAATTTAATGAATATTTCATGTACAGCTGTTTGTTATTTTTAAAATAGATATCGAATATATTAATTTTACATATTCTCCCTATTTATAGGTCCCCAAGTCCTTTTTTACTATGTATAAGGTGAAGGGGCCTAATTCGGCAGGGTGGGTAAAGTGACAAATCAAATTATATTAAAGTTTGCACAAATTAACAATTTAAAATTAATGATTCTTATATTATTCGATTCGTCTCATCAAAACGAATCGAATGATGTAAAAAAACCTGGTTCTTATTAAAGGATTTCATGTAATTGTACAAATACTTTTTGCCATTAATAGTTAATTTTATGTCAATTTGACAATCCGCCATTTTACCCTCCAAGAATTGAAATTATTTAGCTCTAGTAAAAGTTATTCAATAATAACTTGTTCATACTTTCCTTTCATTAAAATGTTCTTGAAAACAAAAATACATATGATTAAAATAAAATTGCAGTTAGCAATAATAAAGTTTTATTTTTAGCGAATTTTGATAAATTTTAAATTCATCGAATTACCCTTTTTACCTTATATGGCACAGTGCGTAAATGCATGCAATACATGCAATAGTTTTATTATTTTAGAATGCATGCACATACGTCTAATTTATATTTAATAGAATTGCTAAAAAAAAATTAAAATCTCAGCTTCAAGCCACTGAGGTTAATTAAGGTAATAATATAGGGGTATACCAATTTTCCCCAAGTCTCTATTGGTCGTGCGTAAATTGCAATAATCCTAATAATGTGACACACTTACTGGTCAGGGCATAACGTAAAAATTAAAGAAACATAATCGCTTTTTTGAAAAGTCACATTTATTTCAAAACCTTGCCTAAGAAATCATCTCTTGCGCAATAATAAAAAAATCCATTGCAAGATTTTAGTATAATATAACCCATTAACTCTACTGATACGTCACATTTTAAAGGGAAAGTGACATGTAATTTGGTGCGAACAATCTCAGCCAATAGAAATTTTGGGGAAAATTAGTAAATCCATAATGTGATTTTGATTGGCTAAGAATTTTTTTTTTGAACAGTTAATATAATTTTTATATTATGTTTATTACCCCTTCTATTTGAGGCTCGTTATGTTAAACACAGTTTTAACTTGGCGTGGCCTAATATACAAACGAAACAATTGTTACGTAGAAACCATCGTAACTCAAGTGTTATGCATTGATTTGCATTATTTGATAAACAAATTTAAACTTTATATCAGATATGCAGATTTACGTACGTACAGTACGTACCTGCGGGGGTGATTTACTTATTTCTGCGAGTGATACAATTTAAAAATAAATTTGTTTTTTTTTTTAGTAGTCGTTTCATAGGTTCTTTCATCGTTCTTTTAGAGCCTTTTTGTAGTACTTTTGGACTTTTTTTCGGCGTTTTTTTTTTTTTGGAGCTTCTTTCGTCATCTTTTTAGTGGTCTGGTATCAAAGGTGAGGTTAATGTTGGATAAATATTTTATTGTATAATATGTATTATTTTGCATGTAATTGTAATAAAATCAATCAATACTATAATAATAAAATTCTTAAAAAGTTGCGTGCAAAATTAATGTCTTGTATTTTCACTTATGTTCTTCGCTTCGCTTTGTGCGGATCTGGGATAGAGTTACGCTCTAAATCCTTTTTCGAATTTGTATCACTCGCATAAATAAGTGTACGCCTTGTAGGGTACGTACATTGTCAAAATTTCAATTTTAATTTAGTTGCTGATTATATGAATACGTATCTATATGCAAAATTCACAAGATTCATTTGCGGTACTGCATATGCATTTCGGATTTTATTCTGTGTACTGTGTACTGAAAATAATTGCAATAATTGCAATTTTTTGTTTCACTATAAACATTGCTAAAATACAAGCTTTAGACTTTATTCTTTTATGTAGTTGAAACTGAAAAAATTAACTGCATATATTGTACGTATGCTATTTATGATAGACCAAGAACGGAGTACGAAGATAAATATCAATTAATCTTACATTTCGCATCAGTGATAATCAATTGATTTAATATATATGAGGCAATAATTACATATTTAACAATTGTAATTTTTATTTACTATGCAATCAATTTAGGAGTGCTTCTATGTACCCTCGAGGCATGCCCCCAGTGCCAATTTTTGTCGATCATTGTACGTAACAGTAGCGTTAGTGTTTAGAATAAACCTAAAGACTAAAGGATTATATAGTAAAATTGCTTAAGAAAAACTTTTTTTTAGAGTGCCAAAGTAGTTCTGTATGTGGTTTTTTGACAAAACGAATGTCTGTTTTGACTTTCCCGATCATGTTACGTAAACCTGATTCTTGAAATATGATTTGTAAATAGGAGATTTTTTAATGCTTAGATTTATTCCTTTTGTTTGTCTCTCATTTCGTGTAATCAAACTAAGAACAATATACGGGTATGTCTTTCCCATATTCGAGCACTTTCGCAGCCTTCCTGAGTATCGGTAGGCTATTCAATTTATGCAATAGCAGTCGTCCCGACTGGCTAAATAAACATTGTGACTGTCGTTCGAACAGGTCACAATTCAAAACTTTCAAAATACAAACTCACCCGTCCTACCAACGTCAACTGCCTCTCCGGCAGGCCAAACTACTACAACCCTGTCCATGTGGGTAGGGTGGGTGGGTCGAATTAACCAGAACGAAAGTCGGGTTCGCAGAAAAGACAAAGTTACTTACTCTTACTTACCCCACCTACACTAATATACAAATCTCAAATTACCTCATACTACCCTAATTACCTCATAATTACTCCATTACTACATACTACTCAATTACCTCATTCTTACCCAATTACCTTATACTTAATTACCTCATTCTTACTACAACTAATTGACTAAATCAAACCCTTATCAATGATCGCATTACTAATACCTCAAATTACCACATACTTTCGTTCGATTGATCGGCAATTGATCAAACATGTGACCAGAATTGGGCCTATCACATGTTCGATTGTCCTACACAAAAGCGGGTACCCTTATGTCCAGAAAATCCTGGGCTGAAGATCATTTCTGACCCTATCCGAATCCAATAAAATCACAGGATCTTGTGTAACAAAACGCGAAAAACATAAAAAATTGTAAAAAAACGTAAATAGCACAAAAATTTACTATGATAACTAACTTCCGATCTCTAAGTAAAAGTTTTTAGAATGAAATTTTACTTACAGAACACAATTGTTAATGTTAGATATATAGTGAATTTTTGAGATACTACGACTCATATTCTTTTGGCCGGCAGCTCGGAATTTTCTGGACATAAGGATATCCCACAAAAGCTGCCTCGATACTTACAGCTATTTGCTGTGAGCATCACTAAATACCAATAAATATCAATTAACAAATATAACATATATCTAAATTGATATATAACTAGGAATTGAAATCACTTAAAATTTTTCTTAATATTATTCATTTAATCATTTAACCGTTTAATTTGGTCGGCATTAAAATAATTCCGACCTACGACCAACATAATTCTGCCCGGAACTATGAACATAATGAATATTTATTAGTGCTAGCTAAACTTTTGTAATGTCGGTAAAATTATTATGTGACAATCAGTGTTATCAATTCAAAAATTTTTATTGGCGCAAAAATCAAAATCCAGTTTAAAAATATATGCAAAAAAATTATATATATGCGCAGAGCGCCAATTATTTTCAACAAAATATGCGCAAAATTAAGTTTATGTGCGCTGCGCCTACTGCGCGTATCCAATTTACATCACTGGTGACAATGCACTTTGTTTGTCTCTCATTTCCGTGTAATCATACTATGAAGAACAATATACGGGTATGTCTCTCCCACTTTCGAGCACTTACGCAGCCTTCCCGAGTATCGGTCGGCTATTCAAATTTATTATTTTTTTTTTTCGCATTGGCAGTCATCTCAACTGGCCAAAGATTCATTGCGACTGTCGTTCGAACAGGCCGCAATTCAAAAATTATCAAACAAATTTAAAATACAATTTCAAAATACAAACTCACCCGTCCTTCCAACTCTTGTTAACTGCCGTCCCGGCAGGCCAGACTACTACAGCCTTGTGACATTACGGGTAGGGCGGGAGGGGTCGAATTAACCAGAACGAAAGTCGGGTTCGCAGAAAAGACAAAGTTACTTACTTTAACTATCGCTAACTATACTAATATACTTATCTCAAATTACCTCATACTTCACTAATTACCTC